GTGTACCAAGGAAAAGTATAGTAATTTATATTTAATTTTACTGGTGACTGAGTTTAATGCGGCGCTTCTTCCACTTGCCAAATGTTGGTCTCGAAGCGCTAGTAGGGTAAAATGATTATGAGGCATGTAGGTAGAGACTCCTATGACTTACTTGACTTAAGGTCCTATGTCCCCTAGATGGGGCAGAGGGCGTCCACAACAGTCCTCCATCGCGTTCGGTCTTGAACTTGGCGTTCGATCTCACTCCAAGTCTTGCCGATCTTCTTCGCCTCGTCTGCCACAGTGCGCCGCCAAGTTTGCTTGGGGCGACCACGTTTGCGTTTTCCTTGGGGGTTCCAATCCAGAGCCTACTTGGGGATGTGATCGGGATCCCTTCGGAGAATGTGGCCAATCCAGTGCCATTTGCGGCGCTTGATCTGCTGGTCAATCGGAATTCCACTCCACTCATTCAGACTTCTATAGATACTTAATAGCAAAATATTTGACGATTTGACTTTGAGTATGAATCGTGCCTATGCCTTGTAAATCAATAAAAGAGTTAACCTTTCACGAGCCGTGCCCTTGGCGACGACGCATCGCGTGTCCACCGCGAATTATCTCGTTAGCATCACATTACAAGAATGTGCGGTAGATCGAAATTCCATAACCAGGAATCTACCCTAAGATCTGGAAGGTTCTCTTTCAGTACCTACACTACCTAATGAAAAGAATTAATTTTCATTAGACTCCAGGCTTTGGAACTTTGGGAGTGGTTTCGCCTCACTAATGGCAGTGGATATTCGTCGGTTTGGTTCTTTCTTATAGCAAATAGCTGTAGAGTGCATCTTGACACTGCCACTTGAAAAAAAATGATTTTAATTCAGGTTTCTGTGTAACATAAGGCGATGATAGCTCTGATAACGTATCAGGAATTCAGGAATCAGATAATATTATGAACCTCTTTTATAATTTGTAGAAATTACTTTTAAAACAATATATTTTAGTGACAGGTCGACCAACATTGCAGTTCCTGAAATTATATCAAACTGGGCGCCAATCTAATCCTTCCTTAGAATAAGCTTCTTCCACTGAAGTCTGACACCAGTGAGACTACTGTATTTGATTCCATTGTTAAAGTGTTATTTATGAGTGCAGCTACTTTTCCGGTGCGAGTCGGGTGTGCGCGCACTCGAGTGACCTCAGCAACGTTAGGTTTATTGGTACCTACCCGGTGGTACCATTGATCCTAAAAGAAGTTCGGTAATGAAAAACATGCCTTTTTAATGAATTGCCCAACTCAAGTGGCAACATTCACATAGCTAGAAGTGTTCACAGTTGGGCAGAAAAGTTCTCTAGTGACGGACCGGAAGACATCCGTATTCACAAACGATGCTTGCTTAAGTGAAGCAGCAAATCGAACGCACAGCGTTGAAATAGAGCTCTGTGATTGGTTCATGTGTCATCCTGTGCGTCCACGGGCACTGTGAGACTCATAGTAATGTTTGTGAATACGGACGATATTGTTAGGTACTTACCTAGATTACTTTTGCAAATTTTGTCTCAACGCTAGACAATTAGCATTACCTAGCTTGATCGAATTAGATAAATAGTTAACATGATGGATAATGTTTTTAATTAAAATCGTGTGAAAATTTTAACAGTGGAGTATTTTTGATATCTCCACAGGCTTCGTGAGACTCGAAGAATGAGTCAGCACCAATCATCCAGTTAGTGCAAGCAGTCCTTCCGGTGCGAACCGAGTGTGTGTGCACTCAGCCTGTTACCCTGAGGTCAACGGGAGATGAGTCCCGCTTAGGAACGTCTATTGTGTGTCATAAGAGACGGTTGGGTCAGAATTGGGTGCTCAGATCATAATGATCTGAGGTTGGGTGCTTAATAACTCGCAAAAAGAGTTTGAGACAGTGATTTTCTACCTATAATTAAAATAAACGTAGGCCTTTTAAGCCTCAGGTCAACAGGGTGACATGAGTCTCGCATAGGAATGTCTATTGTGTGTCTTATGCGACAGTGTGCTTAATAACACAAAGATAGTTGTGACAGTGATTTTTTATCATCAAAATAATCGGCTGGCTCACTTACAACCCGGTCAAGTTAATTGCGCACTTGGCTGACTGGCTTGACGTCACATCGACGCTCTAGTACGGAAGGGGTGAAAATAGGAGGTGTGCAGGTAAATGATAGGGAGAGTAGCATTCCAGCCAGGTGCGCAGTTAACTTGACCAGGTTGTAAATGTGGATTCACGATAATAGTCCAGTGGACGACGGGAATCGAAGTAGGTAGCAACCACTCTAACTGGCAGTTTGATGCCGTATCTAAGTACCTAAAGGTTGGGGTATAATTCCCCGTGTTTTAAAAAATATATGATGCTTGGGACGTGTAAAATAATTTTAAAGTCAACAGATTGAGAATAAATGAATATCATAAATTTTAATGGCAACGTGCTGTATAAGTTAGAGTTTCGGTTCTGGTAATTTTTTTCAGATTAAGATGAATTTCCGACTTATCTAAAAGAAAGTCAAATCCACTTATAATTTTAACTAGCTTTGGTAACAAATTACCATACTGAAAAAAAATTATAGGATGTGTCAAGATTTTAGCCAAATCCTCGCATAAATATTACCAACAAGCTCTGCTTCACTAAGCAAAGATTTCCGAAATTCCTTTTTTTTAGTACCTACATAATATTAAGTACAATACCTATGTATATCTATTTCTTTTATGTTGCTCACGTAGGATTTATCAACAATTTGAGTTTAGACGTCATTATTTCAAGTACTTACATACCTAACTGCATTGCAGTAATCCTATAATAAAGTTTTATAAGGTCTGAAAAGAAAACACGTCAATACATTGTACCTACTTAGTACAGATGCACTGACTCTAATCCGTCGAATATCTGCTTATCTTGATAAGCCTAAACAGCATCTACAGGGTGGAAACGATAAGTGATCTCACTCGATTATTTCTAAACTATACAAGGTATCGAAAAACTGGTTACTGATCCTGAAAGTGCTTCATAGGCTCTTTCGAACGGTACCAATAATAGGTTACAGGATAAACTGGAACTATCCGAAAATTCAATGTTTCCAGCTTCCGTTCTAAATGTATGCCAACCACACAATATTAGAAGTGTAATTTATTTTTTGTTAAATAATAAACTTAAAAAGTCAGTTAAATGAACTCGTAACTTGCATCTCATTTAAAATTATTTGTGGAAAACATTAGTTTTAAGCTTTACTTGCTATAATATTATCAAGATATGAGTGCCATGACTGAGATAGTACTAAATGTATGGAAGATGGAAACATTGAATTTTTGGATAGATCCAATTTATTCTGTAAGCTATTGTTGAAACTGTTGGATAGAGCTCGTGAAGCACTTTTAGGATCAGTAACTAGTTCTGCGATATCTTGTGTAGTTTTTAATATTACGTAACTTTACCAAATGTATGGAAGCTGGAAACATTTAATTTTCGGATAGTTCCAGTTTATTCCGTAACCTATTATTGGTGCCGTTTGAAAGAGCTCGTGAATCACTTTCAGGATCAGTAACCAGTTTTTCGATATCTTGTATAGTTTAGAAATAATCGAGTGAGATCACTTATCGTTTCAGCCCTGTATAAAAGCAGACTAGCCAACCATAATACTTATCTACGCAATCATTATAATATCTAAAGTACCTACCTACTTCCTACGATAAAATTATTTCTCGCAATGTGCTATCGCCAAAAGTATTTAATACGAAGTTATCATTAATTTAAATAAGACTAGATAAATAATCATCAGACGCATAATTTTGCCATTATCCTACTAAGTAGGTGCCTCTATTGATTACTTTTTACCTTCTAAAAATAATGTTAAAAAACTGAAAATGTAAATTTTCTGTCGTCTACGAGTACTTTCAGTGCTATTATTCAAAATAACTAATAAATTTAACGGTCAATGCCCGAAAAATCAATGAGTTTGTTCAAAAACCCGGTGGTTTTGTGTATGCGCATATTATTGAATTCTAATTTATTTAAGTATAACAAACAAACACCAGAAACTACGCAGCGGAGTTCGATTAGTAAAACAATAACGGACCATTATTCTTTTGTATTCAAGTGTGGACTGTATGCTAATGAAATCGTTATGAGGCTTAAAAACAATGCGTAAATAACAAAATACTACAAACTCGATAAACAAGACTTATTGCGTTGTCATAGAAATCAGAATGGCCTAAAATATTTAGGAATTTCAGCAAAAAAATATATCATTTTCAGATTTACCATTTTGATTTTTTGTCCTACCTAATAGCACAGAATAATAATAAGTACTACCACTAATAGTAGTAAGTAAGTCCTACCTATTGTAAGGCTAAGTTGCACCACTTAACTTTAACCGTAGCTATAACGTTAACCCGTGTTTTTTGTATGGAGTTTGACAAATTTTTGACGTTTGTTAAAGTTTATGTAAAATGGTGCAACCCAGCATAATGTAGTGTAAAAATAGTCAGGAGGCATAGCGTAATGCACATTTTGAAAGCCTCATACCGCCATCTATCGAAGTTTGTATGAACACAGTTATTATTACTTACTCATAATAATCATTGTCTCAGACTATCATAGATGGCGCTAAATACAAAAAACATAACATTTCGGAAAATATTTTTATTTTACATGATTTGTTTTACACAATGGAACTTTTAAATCATGTGGTTATAATACTGTATATAGTTACATACATATATTTTCTATATACTAACAAAAATATAAAGCTATGGGTATTCTACTTACGACAATAAAAATAATAATCAAAACTATGATAAACGAATCAAAATCTGAATATGAGAATAATACCTATTTCAATCAGATAATTGAAGTATTAATAAACATACACAAAAGTCATAAACAATTAAACAAACTTACTTGCTAAAATATAACAAAAAGTTTGACCAAAGGAGTTCAAAGGACAAACTTAGAGATGGAATTCTCACTAAATTGAAATGCTTACTTACTTACTTAGCTGCGTTTTGGTAAGTCGTCTTCAATATTTTCTTGAAAAAATATATTTAATTATAATTATACATTTAAAGGTACCAATGCTCTGAAAAAATAGAGTGTTTGGTTGGAGGTGGACAAAGTTTCAAGGGTGATTCAGTAACATAGTCAGCCATGGTAATTTTAGAGCTAGTATGAAACAATTTTTATTTCACATACCGAATATTTGACATGACAACAGCCTGTTTTAGTGATCGACCCCTAGGTATTCTTTTATCATTGCCATGAAACTTTGCACCCACCTTCCAACACATCTTCTATAATATAATAATATCAACATGACGACTGCCCAAACTTCCAGCATCTAAACCTAGCACGCCAGACCGCCACCCTCGTTTCTCTCCAGCTCTTTCCTGACGTAGTCAGCTTGTTTCTCGTCCAAACCAAGCTTCTTCACCTCCTCCTCAAACTGGGCCTTTCCCCCCATCCCCACCAGGTAGCCATTAAGCCTGGCCGCCAGGTGGGAAGTCTGGAGCCTGGTGGAGTCCAGCCCGAGACTGCGGCAGAGGTCCTTGTGGCCTTGCAGGCGATATTTCTGGTGGTAGCTGTGGATGATTAAAAATAACTCAGTAAGTCAATTCAGTTTTACATTCCTTATGCTCAATATGTTGCAAAATTATCTCTATAAATATTAGGTAGGTGTTTGGTATAGGTATGTAAGAAAAGGATAAGTAATACGCCCTTTCGCTCGGGGAAGGATGCAACATTTAAGTAATGTAAAGTTGGAGTGGATGAAAAATGAAAATGAAAAATCGTAATTATAACATCCGGGTGGGATTAGATAAGGTTTACAGGCGGTGCTGAAGCTATTCAGTTTATAATTTTGTCATAGGTAATTCATGATACCGCCAGCACATCAGACTTAAAATTCTTATTATAAAGTCGCATATTACAATCACAAAAGTAAGATGCAACGCCGTGCATAATGCGGGTTCGTTTAAACCTTGTAACATTTCGTTTATGGCAAACTAAGGTCGAATTTTATGCATTATCATTAAAGTAATAGGAAAATTGATGAATGCATAATTGATTTGAGGTCAACTTCATTCGAGACAGGATCACGCTTACTTGAGTCATGATAAGGCATTTCATAATGGTACAAGTAGGTGTGTCACATTTTTATTTGTTGGAATAATTTATAAAGATGAATTCCGAATAGGTTTTAGTTTGCACCCTGTATCAAGGGTTAGTCCAGTCATTATAGTAAGTTCACCTCGGAATTGGAGATACCCAGCTGTAAGTCTGTAAATACGTGTATATTGACACCCTAAAAGTTGTCTCAAAACCTACATATGGTAGGGTGTAAGCAACTACAGTGGAATCTCTATAACTCGAACCTCGTTAAGTCAAAATCCTCAGTAAGTCGAAAAAAATTGCCATTCCCTTCCGCTGAGCACCTAAATACGCGGTATCTCGAATTATTTAGACTTTGTAACTCGAACAAAATGTTATTTCCCTACGAAGTATTGATGATACATATTTATACTCTATAACTCGAAAAAAAAGGGGACTCCGTAAGTCGTAGTTAGTAAAATATGTATAATAACGTCTTACTTGGAATTCCCCGAAATAATAGCAATAAAATCCAAAATGAATGTTCGGGTTCGGGGCTTCTAATCTATTGTTTTTGTCTTGTACACGTGCAATGAAAGAATACATCAATGAAACATTGTAAGTAACACAGCTGTGAACGTGATGTTTGTCCTTGTCGCCACAGGACACGATTACTTATAGCGAAGCTTGTCCGTCCTCTACAAGTCGAAATTTCAGCAGTTAAGTCCTTGTATCTCGAAGTTCTTGTTAAGTCGAAAACTCGTTAACTCGATTTTTTTTGCATTTCCCTTGAGATTCGAGTTATAGAGATTCCACTGTATTAAATTTCAAGGTCAACGGTCACAAAAATCGGTTTTTTGCGCTTTTTTTAGAAATATCTCATTTCCTATGGGTTTTTTGCTATTTGTATTTATTATCAATATTGTAGAATACTAAATTCTTTACAAATTTTGTTTAAAAACTTTTTTTATACGGTGAACCGTTTTCGAGATAGAGGGCGGAGAGCGCGCGGTCACTGCATCACTTCAGGTCTACTTAAGCGGTTTAGATTTTTCACACAAAAGGATTTTCCCGCTAATTCCTGTGGGAATTTCGGGAATTCCTTGTTGTAACTAAGCTTTGAGTTTACTAAGGTACCTACATGCCAAATTTCAAGCGTCTAACTTCCGTTAAGCGTTTAGATTTTTCATACAAAAGGATTTTCCCGCTAATTCCTGTTCCCGTGGGAATTCCTAAGTATACTATAACCTGCCCAGGTGTATGAAGAATAATTGTACCAAGTTTCGTTAAAATCCGTCGAGTAGTTTTTGTTTCTATAAGGAACATACAGACGGACAGAATTCTATACATGAAATATATTTTCAAAATAACTATCAGGGGGTGATTAGTGATCGATACTGATGCCAAAAATGCAATCAGTAAAATTTTTGTGTCTGTCTGTCCGTCTGTATGTTCCTTATAGAAACAAAAACTACTCGACGGATTTTAACGAAACTTGGTACAATTATTCTTCATACACCTGGGCAGGTTATAGTATACTTAGGAATTCCCACGGGAACAGGAATTAGCGGGAAAATCCTTTTGTATGAAAAATCTAAACGCTTAACGGAAGTTAGACGCTTGAAATTTGGCATGTAGGTACCTTAGTAAACTTAAAGCTTATTTACAACAAGTAATTACCGAAATTCCCACGGGAATTAGCGGGAAAATCCTTTTGTATGAAAAACCTAAACCGCTTAAGTTGACCTGAAGTGATGCAGTGACCGCGCGCTCTCCGCCCTCTATCTCGAAAACGGTTCACCGTATAAAAATTTTTTTTAAACAAAATTTGTAGAGAATTTAGTATTCTACAATATTGATAATAAATACAAATAGCAAAAAACCCATAGGAAATGAGATATTTCCAAAAAAAGCGCAAAAAACCGATTTTTGTGACCTTTGACCTTAAAATTTAATAGTTGCTTACACCCTACCATATGTAGGTTTTGAGACCACTTTTAGGGTGTCAATATACAAGTATTTACAGACTTACAGCTGGGTATCTCGAATTCCGAGATTCTTACCTAATTTAAGCTTAAATGACTGGACTAGGTGTGTATTATCAGGATAGAGCTCAGTGGCATGCATCATGGTTATGAGGAGGGATATTGTGTCCAGCATTGGACTCAGGCTGATGATTTGATAATTTGCAATGGAGATTACTATTTGTGCCGGTATGCACAATAATTAATCTCTTCATATCTTATCTTGATCACGTTCACAGTGTCAGCACATTTATCACGTATAGTGCTGATGCTGTGACGTCATTTACCTTTGATCTATATCGCATAAATAGTCACGCAGTTCACATTAATAAACAGACATAATAGCAGAGACTAACTACAACCCGTGTCTCATTCATACGGTCTCCCAACATGGCACACTATTCATAACTTTCTCAAAAAATGAGAAAAGCGAATATGTTCTGATGAAAAAAGCGGGGATCGTGATATGTGGCGCTCTTTGGGATAGGTTTACGTCCAGCTCTGACTGATTGTACCTTTGATAAATTAGAGAGGGTCAACCTACAAGATACATTTATTACAATGGACATCACACAAATACAAGCAATTACATAGACATGACAGTGGCACATAATAAAGGAAGAAAAAATAAACAACAAGAGTAAACTGAGCAGTGCCATCCATTCACAAATAAGATGCCGACTGCAATGGGACCCCACTCAGCATATGCCGTGGCCTACGGTGACGAAGGCCACGGCGCTGGTCATTTCTGCCATCACACCGTTTGTTCAAAGATACTCACTCCTCAGCAGGGTAGAAGGTCCCAGCAGGCGCGATCTCGGTCCGCAACTGTCCCACGCGAGCCAGCATCTCCTTGTACGAGGCTTCAGCCGCCGCTCGCTGCTCCTCGTCGTGGTACAGGATCATAGATTGGTACTGTGGAGAGGGAAACAATAGGGTATATTGAGAGAAGGAAATTTTTTGAGGTTGCATCTATAATTTGCTGCCCACAGAGGTCAAACGCAGAGTACCTAACCCACGTAACTATAGGTTACTTACTACAACTTAATAGGCGAAAAAAAATTGGGGACCATAACAGCTCCACCATAGGTACTTGTTTTGTGTCCATACCATCCTTCTATTTTTAATGAGACCATGCCAAAGGGTATGCAAAAGGCTTACTGCTGAAAATCGGTGTCATTGGCATCACAAATAACCAGATGACAACTGAACTGCCTCTCAGTTCAATTTTAATTGGTTTTTTTTCTTCTAGACTTACATTTTTAATTAATCGTGCATCCTTTCATTTCATTTCTTTAGTTTCAGTTAGAATTGTCCCCGTGACCTCTTTGTTTAAAGCAGGTGGTCTAGAGTTAGACCAAAGAGACGGTTTACATTTACCTACTACTGTTTTGCTACAGGTTTATTGATAAATCTTACGCCCGTATTAACAAACGATGCTTGCTTAAGTGAAACAGCAAATCGAAAGCACAGCGTTGAATAGAGCTCTACGATTGGGTCATGTGTCACCCTGTGCGTCCACGCGCACTGTGAGACCTCATAGTAATGTTTGTGAATATGGGCGTTAATATACATTTTATTAGTATTACCTGTCTCTTGAGCTTAGTGGTTAGTCCGTACTCGTGGTTGGCCCAGAACATCTCCAGGAGCTCCACGAACGTCACGGTCTTGGGATCGAAGTCCAGCTCGATCACCTCTGTGTGGTCGCCACTGAAATACACGAAACACATCACATTAATATTTCAAAAACAACGTATTTATTTTAACGGATTTAGCAGTTTGGATTTGTTTATTTGAATAGGTATTTTGAATCTGAATTTCAGTTAAAGGCAAGTATTACCTACTTACTTACTCAGACTTTGAGTTTTTTACGCTATAATAAAACTTATGGATTAACTAAATATTTCGGGCAGTTAGCTAGTAAAGTGACAACTTGCGAAAAGTTGATGAAAAAGCTGGATGAATCCAAAAATATCTAAGGGGAGGCCTATTACCTACTCGTATTTATCAGTGGATTGTAATTATAATAAGTAGACTGATGGCCTGATAGGCAATAGTGATAACGAATATTTTGGATTTCTACTCATTTTGAAAATCAATTCGGACAAGAGTTAAAAATCTTAAATTGTAATGGATAGGCATAATCAGTAGAACATCAATATTTTGGCACGAATTCATAATTTTACAACTTTTTTAACTCAATGCCGTCTGTGTTAGCGTCCTAAATTGCGATTTTATATTCTTCCGCGTGTAACGTACAATGCCAGATTACTACAGATCACATCTGACACTAATTTTAGCGAAGTCAATGAGTCGATAACATGCGTGCACGCATCTAATCGCCTTGGCCTTTCGTTGCGTAGAGCATCACTAATCCAAATAATTAATAGGTTACTCGTAGAACGTGTCACCACCACTACTAATTGACTAAAATTATTTTTTGCGACTACAAAATTATATTTTGTGTAAACTAAAGTTGAAGTCTCAGTACTTTATGCTAGTAGGTTTTTATTAGGTAGTTTTCTTCATTTAGTTAAGTAGGTAACTTACGTATTTATTTACTTTATATGTTAGATTTACCTGTTAGACTGTTACAAAGAGGTTAATAAGAATAGGAAACTTACAAAATATTGTTTTGCTTTATTCACTACGAGTACTTGTAGTAATTTAAACGATTTGTTCTTACATTAGGTAGGTAAATAGGCGTGATATTTATTCCGTTCTTGACTCTACCATTCAAAATTGTTAAACAACTTTTAAGTACGTAGGTATTATAATTAGGAATTAGATATTTTTTTATTCCCATGAGTATTGAAATCATCGTGTTTGCCATAAAATGTTTTATAGGGCCTATAATATAGGCTAAAGTGCCTATACCGGCGAATAGTTGCACAATACTTTTGCAAGACGGTTTTCCGACGATAAATGATTTGCAGAATCATGCAAGATAAATCGAAGTCGTGACACCCAGCGAGTGCGTTTAACACTAATGACAAGATAAGTTAAATATTTACAATCGAAAATTGATAGTACGACTACATGATTGATAACAGTGTGAATGACCATACAAAAAAAATATATCATCATGCAACCCAAAAATACCCACTGATATAGTAAAGAACCTAAATAATACTTAATTCAGCAGCTTAGAGTCACACACTAACTTGCAATGGTTCGTCTGTGTACTAACCACTTTATTGATCGGGGCTTTTTCCTTGACAATATGGCATAGACGTGACTACGCTGGTTAGCTAAAATATTGTTGAGGTAAAGCTCCTGTAAAATGAATATCTAGTAGGGTAGAGGCTTGCCGTGTGAAGAGGTTATAAAATAAGGTCTTCAGTATTGCTACAAAGTTACGGTGATCATAATGTTTTACCTTATGTTTGTTTTTCGAATCTTTGCCGAAGATTGGATGAAATGGTAATGGATCTAATAAAAATATTGTTATTGATATCTGATAGAAAGGCAATCTGAAAGTAGCTTGAGAAACTTTAGTAGAAGAAGCGAAAGTTTTAAATCTTTGGCATAGCATTAATTGAGAATCCCATACGCAACGCTTCTACTCAGCTTTGCAAAGCAAAGGTTTATCATGAGAAAAAAGTAAATTAAAACATCGCAGACGAAACTTCACAAAAACTAAAAACAGGTCGTTGATTTTTGTGGCTGCAAGAGTCAAACTTGTATGATAATTAGGTACCTTCCAAGGTTACCTACGGTAATGACTTACCTACGAAACAACAAAACAAAAGACTCCGATATGTTTATTTACGATTAACAATAAAACAAAATGATTTGCTATCATCATATCTATGACGATAAAAACGTGTAATCCAGCAAACTTTGCTCTTTATTATTTGCAATTTTTATCCGATGTTTATTAATATCATTATCACAATTTTTACGGCTTTTTCAATAGTACAAGAATGAGTTCGCAAATTTTCTGATAAGTTTCTTAATTACATTCGTATCTTGTTAATTAAATTCGAGGTCTTGATGGCCTGATAGGCCTACATTACCTACATAGATAACAATCTGACCTACGAAATACAAGGTTGCTCTACAATTCCTAATGCATTCTATGCAACTACTAAGCAAATAGTATTTTGTGAACTTTACTTGTAAATCGTTATTAGAACGAGCTCTATTGTGCCTCTGAGCATTCTTACGTATAGTAAAATACAACCTATTTTTCGGGGAGGAAATGCTTTGCAACTGTGGGAATCAGCCACATACGGCCAAGTTTACATACTAAAACCTCCTCATTCCAATCCTCATTCAGTCACTATTGGCAGGAAGTCGGAGGATCACCTGTACCCATGCTCTCTACAGTTGACAATTCACGCATGTTTCTATAAAGCGGATTCTTTTAATTGCCACTGTAGTAAACATGTCACGACTCTAGGTGCAGCATCCCAAAGTAAGCCTTGTTGAGATCAGAAGTAGCTTATGCCCTAATGCCAAAAGTACCTAACCTCCTTGATCAAAATTATCCTTGTTCAAACAATAAATAAATCAACTCACATATTCCTATAATGAGGGCTCTTCGTGGTGCCTCCGGAGTACCCGACGCGTGTCCTCACGACGCCAGGAGTGGCGCCGAAAAGGGAATCGTTGGACCAGAAGCAGCCCATGCCGAAGGTGGCCTTCTTGGTAGGGATGTCCACATCATGGAGGAGGGCAGCCTGGAGATGTTAGAAAAGTTGTTGGATTTGAATCTTCTTCTTTTTCTTCTTATTTTGTTGATGGTCAGGTCTGGGATGTTACGGCCCATAGACAGACCTCTCCTGATGAATACCGTAGATTTAGATCAATATGCTGGTATTTTATGAAAGCTATCAAAACGCAATTCTTTTAAAGATTTAGTATGGTATTGTATACTGACTAACGTAGTAATTAAGTAATTGTTGATTTGAATACTAACGCGTCTTTCAGGTCTAAAATAAAATATTTATAAAGAACTAGCTGACCCGGCGAACTTTGTTCCGCCTTAATGGCAATAAATAACGGGATAAAAAGTCCTTCTTATCCTATGTCCTTCTCCTGGCTCTAAACTACCACCCTGACAATTTTCAGCTAAATCGGTTCAGCCGTTCTTGAGTTATAAGTGGAGTAACTAACACGACTTTCTTTTATAATATAGATGATTGTCTTCAAATTATTCGTTAGATAGTTACCTAAGTGTCGACTAAGCAAATGCTGCTTGCAAGTATTTAACCGACTTCAAAAAAGGAGGAGGTTATATGTTCGACTGTATGTATTTTTTTTTCTATGTATGTTCATCGATTACTCCGTCAATTGTGGACCGATTTTCAAAATTCTTTTTTTGTTCGGTAGGGTACACTTCTGAGGTGGTCCCATTGTCACCAAGTTAGGATCTGATGATGGGATCCTAGGGAAATCGAGGGCAACCCTCAAATTTTATAGGCACGTATATCGTTTTTCAAACTTTTTCTTAAGTTATTCAAGTATTTGCTCCTGGAAATCATCATCTCATATTGATGAGCTGATGATAGAAGGTAAAACTTAAATAAACTAAATTCCTTATTCATTGGCTATAACACAAACCTGTAAAATAAAAGAAACGACATTTAAAGTTTATTAATATCTCTTAAAATATCTTCATATTTTCCACAATGACTTTTCACTATGACATTTTTTGACAGACATTTTAAGTCATAGACAAATCATAGACCTTAAAGTAAAAAGTATTTACTTTACATCTCCCCCCCTTTGAAAAAGAAATTTACAGAAGTAAATTTTCTTTAATATCAGTTCTCTTTAATGTTCTGTCTCTTCACTTTCTGTCTCTTCTTCTCCTTGTATTGTGGATACTGGTACAAGTTTTGTAATGTGAAAAAGGTTCGACTCTGTTTTCTTGTGTCTTGTATCAATTCTATATATTGATTCTGAAACCTTTTCAACAATCTGAAACGGTCCAATTTTCAGTTCTTCCAATTTTTTTCTATTTAGCCTGTTACCATTTTCTACATAAACCATATCTCCTACGTTAAGTTCATAGTATTTTCTATTTTTGTCAAACCGCGATTTGTTGTAGTTATGTGACTTAATTGTATTCTGTAGTGCCGCCATCTTATCTTTGACCCAGTCATTATAGGTTTTGTCTCGCTTTAATTCATTGGGTAAAATCGTAGCATCTGTACCATACATAAGATAACTTGGTGTGAAGCCAGTTATTGAATGTACAGTTTGATTATATTTGTTCACACATTCATGAGCTATCGTTGTCCAGGCTTTCTTATTTTCATCTTCATTTACCCTGCACCTCATTTTGTTTACTAAAGTCTGATTCAGCCTCTCATTTAAACCATTCGAGAAAGGTGCGTTTACTGCAGTAAATATTATAGTTATCTGTTTTTCTTCTAAGAACTTCTTGAATTCTTTCGAATTTATGCCTGGATATTGATCAGTGAGCAGCATACCGATGTCCTCTGTACTGGATACATTCCTCACTAGTTTGATAAAATCATTCGCACTTTGAGTTTTTGAAGTTAAAATAAATGCATACCTAGTGAAGTGATCTACCAATAAATGCAAATATTTCTTTGTAGATCTTGATCCTCCAAAACCTCCAATTGTGTCTATGGAGACTATTTCAAACGGTTTCGTTGCTGGGCCCAAATGAGACATAAATCCAAATTTGTGCTGTCCTCTTGATTTATTTCTAATGCAAATTTCACACTCCCCACATATTCTTTTAATATTTCTTGTCAAATTTCTTGCTGTATATAGCGGACCAATTGTCTTCTGCATTTGCCTTATTCCAATGTGACATAGGTTCTTGTGTACATTTTTCAAAAATTCGATACTGAATTCTTCTGTCAAAATTATTTTTTCTTTATTTCTAATTTTTTTATAGTATATGCTTTGTTTATTAATCATTTTTTCTTTATTATTTCGTATTTCTTCATTTTTATCCTGATCTAATAAAATATCTTCTAGGTCAATAAAGTTTACTATCTTTAATTGTTCATCTGTATTTTCATTTGAATCCAACACAGGGTTTCTACTAAGACAATCCGCTTCCAAATTTTGTTTCCCTGGTGCATATTTTATCTCGAAATTATATTGCGATAGGTAGTAAGTCAAGTCACCCAATTCTTCATCGGTTCTTGATTTCACATTCATTCTTTCGAGAGGCTTATGATCTGAATAAACTGTAAATGATCTGCCCATTAGCCAATACTGCCAGTATTGCACCGCTTCTTTGATGGCTAAACACTCCAAATAAATGGCTTTCTTTTTCTTCTGGGCCTCATTTAACTTCTTTGAAAAGTAAGCTACTGGTTTTTCCTTTCCATCGGGCTGTGTCTGTTTCAAAATAGCTCCAATGCCATGTATCGATGCATCTGTGTAAATATTAATTGGCAAATCTCTATCAAAAATAGCTAGAACTGGTTGAGAGCATAGAAGATTTTTTATTTTCTCAAATGCTTTTTGACATTCTTCAGACCAAATAAACGGTTGATTTTTCCTGAGTAAGTTATGTAATGGATCTAATATTATCGCACTGCTTTGTATGTATTTATTATAAAAATTAATTTTCCCTAAAAACTGTCTCACATTCTTTTGTGTTTTTGGAGTAGGAAAATTTCTGATTGAAATCAGATTATCTTTTACAGGTTTAATAGAATTGTTTTCAATTATATGACCCAGGTATTTTACTGAGTTTGATGCAAAAGTGCACTTTTGAAATTTTAATCTAAATCCTTCTATACTAATTGCTTCAAACAGCTGTGTTAAGTGATGAATATGAAGATCAAATGATTCTGAAAATATCAATATGTCATCAATATAATTCACGGCGAAATCTGTGAGTTTGTATTTTCTTATTATGTTACTCAATATCCGTTGAAAAATTGCTGATGCTGTTTTCAGTCCAAATGGAAGACAAGTCCATTGGAAATGTCCATCCTGTGTTACGAATCCTGTCTTGTTCCTATCTTCTATTCTTAAAGGAATAGACCAAAAAGCAGAATTTATGTCTAGAGTTGTATAATATTTGCAATTCTTGGCCTTGGTCACTAAGTCTTCTATTAATGGGAATGGTTGTGCTTCTGGTACCACTATTTTATTCAAATCTCTGAAGTCTATACATAATCTGGATTTTTTATTATCTTCTTTTTTAAAAGCCAGTGTGACAGGTGCAGCAAATGGACTGTAAGATTCTTCTATAAGTTTACTATCCAATAGTTTTCCTACCTGTTCTTCTATTTCTTTCTTATCTTCCATAGTGCACCTGTAAGGTCTCTTACTGCAGTATTTGTCTACTAATAAGTCTATTCTTGCTTCATATCCGTTAACAGTTCCAACGTCATATTTATTTCTCGCAAAAATTGAATTATATTTATTTATGAGTTTATTTATTTCTGATTTCTGATATTCATTTAAATAGTCCATTTTTACTTCAAAATCTTCTTCTTTAATATGTTCGTTGAAATTTATTGTATATTTGTCCTTATTATTATTATTTCTCATTTCTTCATCAGCATTAGCTTTTAAGTTTGTTGAAACTTTCTCCTCTTTTTCTTCAACGATTTCTTGTTTCTGAGTGATATTTAAATTCTCATCTTGTATCAATCTGAACTTCTTTATCAAGTCTAGCCCGATCAGAAAATCATACTTAAAATTTTCTTCATCGATGATGTAAACTTCAACATTAGTTTCAATTTCCAAGATTTTAATTTTTAGTTGTGTTAAACCACTTGCCTTTTTGACACCATTAATTGTCACTAAATCTGCTTTATTCAAATTGTTTCCTTTTCCTTTCAGTTTTATCAGCTTTGAATTTATCAAAGAAACATTTGAACCGGAATCATAAACTCCATTAACTTTCAGTGTATCATTTAGAAGCAGTGGAACATATATTAATGGTGTCACTAACAGTTTTTTTGTTCAGTTTCATTCAGTTCAGCTTCAATTACAGAATTATTTACATGTTTAATGTTTTTCTCCACTGATTTATCGTCTGCTCTTGTTTTAAACCAGCAAGCAGATTCAGGGTGGTAGCGACTTCCTTTATTTAACCTTTCACAAGTCTTGCATGCTCTTTGATCATCATTTTTATTGTTGTCATTGCTTACTCTTGGGTTTCCATACTTTCTGTAGTTTAAATTATTCCTCTTATTTATCAGATATTCCAACTTTCTCACTTCATTATAAAGATCAACTGTATCTTTCAATGTCTCTCTATCAATCCTGTTGAGTACGTGTTCTGGTAAACCCGCTGCAATGAGGTCTATCAAGGTACCTGTATCAATAGAGTTTCTCATGTCCAGTAATAATTTTTCTTTCCTTATGGCATAATCCACCAACAATCCATCTTTATATTTGANCCTTATGAGTTGGAAGATAATTCTTTTAATTTTATAGATAAGTATAGTTTCTAAAGTTATTCAAGTGTTTAAATCAGATATTCATCATCTCATCATGATGAACTGGACATGGTAGGTACAACTCCTTAATGCTTAGGAATTGGAGGATAATTCTTTAAATATTATATTTAGACCAACAGTTTTACAAATAGACCAACAGTTGTATTCTTTCATGTTTTTAAGGAGGGCTGACGGTTTAAGGTCTTTTTAGGTTTCCTATATGGTAACCTGTATTTTGTAGGGAATATTATTTTACACTAGACATGAAGAATATGGTCTCAATGTACTGC